GAATAATAATGTATTTACATTATTGGAAATATTCAGAGATCAATTAGTTCAATGTAAATATAAATATACAGGGTGAGTCATGTAAATTGATCTCCGCGAATATCTTCGAAACCGTTGATGATACTGGAAAATATTTCACATAAAAATCGAATTGTTTGGAGGGAGAAATAATGCGATGTGGTTAGCTTTTTGTTGGTAAACACATAAAGCATATGTTAAGGTCCAATTTGTTATTTTTTTTTTTTAATGGAATCATATTTTTAATGCATTACTCGATGAAGCTCGTCATTCCTTATAAGAAAAGTATGAAACTATTTATGATACAAAACCATTAGATTGGCAGATATTTTAATTTCAACATGGTTGTACTTAATTGCGGTATAGGTAGTACGCGTGACATCTAACATCTTATGTTTATATGGATGGCAATCAACAAATTTCAAAAGAACCGCTGGAAAGGATTTATAGGTCATTTAGAGACCGAATAGATTTCTGCATTCAAGCTGAAGGACTATTCTTCATAAACACTTGTAACTGCCATCTTTCTGCCGAATGTTGTCATCGCTAAATAGTGTTTTTCAAGCAGAAACTTACATTCTTCTTTATAAAGTTTATTTATGAATTTGGCTTAAATTTTCATTTTTTAATGTCCATGGAGGAAATGACCGATTTTAAGTGACAATGGGATTGATTCTTAACCATAATTAACTTTGGTGATCAGCACCGGATGGGAGGGGGGGTAGGGGGTTATAGCTCCCCCCCGATCTAAGCCTTCCGTTTATGTCAAAAAATAATTGACTGAAATTTTGTTAACTGTTTCCCTTTTGAAATAATTAAAAATTGTACTAAATGTAGAAATAAATCGAATCACCGTTGTTAAAATATAACGAAGCATTACTCGTTATAATCAAGCGTTCGTTAGGATTAAATGGTATTTAATTTTACTTAGAATAAATTTCAATTTTGGCAGATTAATGTATTTTATTCTATGTTACATTACAATAATTTCAACACACGAAGTCTTAATTCGGGCCTGTTGGTGATTAACATAATTGATTATATTGCTATGTTAGACAGTACCTTGAAACGAGAGAGTATACTGTGTAACTTTACCATAAAGAAAGAGACTATGGTAATAACTTGCATTCACGAACATAATATCAAATATACCTATTAGCAGAATCGTTAATTTCACATGCACCTATCTAATACTTCTTTTACGTAAAACACAGTTGATACTGTCACGATGAATACCCAATATACATAAACCAAAACGGTGACATTCACTTGTTTCCATTTAAGTGGCCCACCTTAACAGGGTGGGGCAATAACTATGTCCACTTTGAATATTGCCGTTATTTGTAATAATATGAAAAAATGTTATATACAAAACTTACACGGTATAGAGGGGAGCGTATTGCGACAGAAACATTTTCTGCGTGGGTAAAGGCATAGAGGAGATTTCAAGGTCATCTCTATTTTTTTTAATGGAATGCTATGATTTTTTATCGCGATGTGATACCCGGTGTTAAAACGACTTCAGCGAGCTATCATTGAAGGTCATGCAAGGTCAAATGTGGTAGTAAAATAAACGTTCTTACATTACGGGAGATGCTCGAAGTGGTGATCGTTTGCGTCAATGCAAAGTTGAAATTTTCGTATCGCTGCATCGCGTGTATGCCTTATCGTTTCTAAACTTTGCGATAAAAAAAACCTAGCATTCCATTAAAAAAAATAGAGATGACCTTGAGATCTCTTCTATGCCTTCACCCACGTAGAAAATGTTTATGTCACAATACATATACCCCCCTTTATACCGTGTAAGTTTTGTATGCAACATTTTTTCATATTATTACAAATAACGGCAATGTTCAAAGTGGACATAGTTATTGACCCACCCTGTATAAGCAAAATGGATACGTCGGGTAGTAGTCTGTAAAAATAGTTGGGGTTACCATCAATTGCAACAATATCCTTCCCAGACATATTTATGTTGCTGTCTGGTTATGTGTAGGCTGAAGATGTAACGATACGTCTTGGCTTAAGCTGCGTCTACACTATATAACATAACATGTTATATAACAAAGTTATAAAACTTGTTAGAAAAACAGAAAGAAAAATGTTATATAACGTGATGATACATAACATTTTCCATGTTATCCATCTAGTGTAATGCCATTATTAATAATGAGACGCGAAATGTTATACAAACTTGTTACAGACTCGTCTGAAAGGTATAGTCTTGTAACAAGTTATAAAAACATGTTGTTTAGCAAGGTTATACAACAATTTGTTTTGTAACACTGTTTGACTATATAGTGTAGACGCAGCTTTATCCTGGGTGTCTGCTTTAACTGGGCCCGGTAGAATATCTCATAAGGGACTGAGGGTATCGAAAAAATGTTCTGACAAATGTTGTTTGGTATGAAGGGGGCCATAATGTGGTATGTATAAATAATTTTTTTGCAGGTAGAGCAGTGAAGGAGATTTCAGGATCAAGTTAATTTTTTTTAACGGAACGTTATATAATATTTTTTCTATTCATGATATAATAACGTTTATTGAGACGAGTTTAATGATATGCTACATAAGGTCATTGAGAGTAATAGGAGATCGTAAGTTAGTGAAATTTGAAAGAGTCACGTCAACGTAAACATAAGTCGTGTGCTACCAAACCCTACGTAACCGTGCTACGGAGTCGCATCAGACCCACGTATTCGCACTGATCTGACTACTTAACACTTCACTAATTTATGACCTCCTATTACCCTCAATGACCTTATGTAGCACATCGTTGAACTCATCTCAACAAACGCTATCACATTATGAATATAAAAATGTAACACTCCATTAACAAAAATTAACTTCATCCTGAAATCTCCTTCACTATTCTACCTACAAAAAATTAGTTACACCATATTATATTCCTCTTTGTACCAAACAACTTTTGTAAGAACATTTTTTTAATACATTCAGTTTCTTACGAGATATTCCAGCCCGGTCTAGATGAAACAGTCACCCTGTAGAACCAAATGCACTCTCGCGAGTAAAGCATTCCCGCCGAGAATCGAACAGGGGACGTACATACAGTAATGGAACGAGAGATTGGTCGAAAAATACAGTGAAGGCAAACACACGGGCGAGAGAAGGAGAGGGACTGAGACATTATTATGATACATATCGTTCTCTCAGACAGCGCGGCGCCTCATGCTCTGTATTAATTACTTATCCGTATGATTCGAAATAAACAGCGTGGTGTGGTGTGGCGCACCTACTTTTTTAAATTAATCCCAATTGTGCTCGATTACTGCCAACAGAACGCGATACAATCAAGGTCGTGTTAGTTTGATTAACGAGCATCCAAGTTGACGATATTCCTGTTTTGTGTTTATTGTACTTCTCTCGTGATAGACAGTTATTGTGTCGTGACGTTTCTAGAGTACAGAAGTATACTATTTAATAATATAGTTAGACTGCAAATTCTGTGATTTAAATGATAATTCGTAAAAGTGAAAGTAAAGAGAAATTGATTACCCGAGTGAAACTTTGTATTATGTTTATGATGATACATAAGTGCTATTAAATGTGATTAAGGTTTTTATTTTACTGCATTTTGCAAATTAAGATTGGCTAAAAATGCATAATCATGAACAAGATTTTAATAACGGTGAAAGTTTGTAAGACGTTAATCTGATGTTTAATGTGGACTTTTTTTAATTATATAAACTTAATCGATTGTCGAGTCTTTGCAGAATATAAATTATCAGTAGTCATTGTTAAAACAAGGACTATCGATCATTGCCATTGATGTTAAGACATTAAATTTTTTTCCTATACCGTGAAACTATGAAATTATTGATTGGTTGACTGAATAACGTTTTTCAAAAAGTTTTTAATAGTATGTTCTTTAAATTCGTAAATTTAGTAAAAGATCCAAAGTACAGAGTAGTCTAAATTTTTTATATTTTTATCAAATTTCAGCATTTAGTTCCATGAAAATCTGAATTATCAGGCATAACGGAAGAAAAATATTGTACGTACACTAAAATATAAATTATATTGTTATTTCATTAAGAAAATACGAGGAAACCAATTGGTACATTTAATTGTTTCATAGTAGAAGCTAACAATATATGTACACAATAATTGTTTGGAATTTTACTCATATTTCTCATGTATTGGTAATAAATATAATTGTGTATAAAGAATAATAGTCATAAATGTCCTGTAATGTAGTTTGCCACAATTGGGACTTTAAGTTTTTAGAGTTTTCATACGTATAAAATAATTTCTGTGGCAGGAAACGTTCATGATTACTTCACTGAATCTGTAACAAGTGTCCTTTTACATTCATACATTTTTTGCTCGGTTGAGCATATCCAACTGGCGTATAACAAAGTAACCGCAAGAAATGATCGTACATACGCACGATACATGACCATGAAGGATGGCATTAAAGCGGAGTCTCGATATCAGTTAACAGCTACTTATTTTTACATGTGAAAACCACAGGGGTAAAACATGACATGTCCATTTTTGTTGATTTTCTAATTTTTATGTCGTCTGGGAACTAAAATGGAATACTTTACTACTACATGTGTAGTTGATAAGGGGGAATTATATCATCATCAAACTATGTCATTAAAATAAATTGATTGAAGAAATGATTATTTGGATAAATAATTATTAATAGGGGAAAAATCTGATAAGTCCACGAAGTTTTGTAACAAATCAGGGTCACTATGTGTTATGAGAATCAATATTTTGGAAATGTTCTAGAGGGTGATTAACCCCAAAACCAACTGAAAACAATGTTTTCGCAACATGGGATTGGTTGAGAGTGTTTTGAACTTTAAAATTGCTCTTCCATAAAAAAAACTGAAAATGTAAGCGGTCATGTTTCTTCTCTGTGGTCTCAAGTGTGTACTTCAATCGCCCTTTTTAACTTCGACTCTTCTGATGCAATTTTATTACATGTCCCTTGTTTCTTTTATTTGCAGAGCGACCCCAGTACGGCATTTCTCCGAGCAGCACGTGCAGGGCAGTTGGAGAAGGTTTTGGAATACTTGGAATCGGGAGTGGATATTAACGCTTCGAATGCTGTAAGTTAATACCTCCGATTCGTATTCTATAATAATTAAAAAGCTGGAGAAGCATTAAATTTATGTGTATTAACACAACAAAAAACATTAATAAATACAAAGTAATTACAAAAAACTTACCATTAAATTAATGAAAATGATTAAAAATGTATTATTAAATTAATTATAAGTTTAAACTTAAATTAATTTAAATTTGATATCTATTAGAGTGGTGTCATTTTATAGGTAAGGCATATACAATATATGAGATATATGTATGCTTGTCAAACGAAAATTCGGTCGAACCCATGAGGGAAAAATATTTAATTTAAATATTATGTATCTATAATTAAATCGTGGACTTCTTCTGACTTGTATTCTAAATCTTATACACCTAAAGAAGTGACGGACTATTTGCAGTATCGTTTTCCATTCTTAAGAAGGAAAGGAAATTTCATGTATCTAAATGAAAACATCTATATATTTTATATAATTCATCAGCATTTCTTTTCTAACTAGTACAAACAGTAATAGTTCATACAACCTGAAGATATATTTAATATCATTCAATTAAACAGGACTGACCTATACTCACAAAATTACAGGGAAACACAATTTCGAAGATTCAATGAAATGATCTCAAGTTCGTAAATTATAGTCTTAATCAAAATAATATCGAAAGCATGTTTTCATTACATTTCGTTCTGCCGCAGAACTTCTGCGAGTAAAAAGTGAAAATAGTATTTGATGAGACTGGTATCTGCCTGAAAGAATTTTTTTCAAAGTACAAAAAGATCGCAGGGCATTCCATTAAAGAAATTTGGGGGTTGCAGCTATTTGTTCCCTTGGGGTGCCTAGCAGCTGCAACTCGTACGCTATGCAAAAAGGGACCGTTGAACTGTGAAAAACCAGACGAAAGTTTGTCCCCGTTCTAATGGTTTCCATACAAATAGTTTTGACCTCTTTATGTGGCTAATCCTGCCAATTTTCTTCGTTTCCTCTAACAGCTTTCCAGACCTTTCTATATCCCTTTCATACAATTTTTCTGATATTATTTAAAAAAAAATACTTAATTACAATTATAATATCACGTACACTACTACTCGAAAGTTTGGATGTGCCTAGTGTGTTTGTATTTTGAATTTAAATATATATTACGCGGTACATTGTTTTTCCTTAAATTGCGTTAAAATTGTTTTCTAATTATACGGAAATCTGTAAGCCTAGCTTCATTGCATTAATTATTTTTTTAATATTGTTAAATCTTATGAACTTTAATTAAATTTGTCTTATTCAATGCCTTATTATCAAGAACAATTTGCAGCTTTTGATAAAGAGTAGTGTGACTCATAGGGTTGACTTGGTAGCGTTAATATTAAAAAACAAATACAAGACTTCAAAAAATTGGAAAATTTTTAGTGCCTAATACTTTGTGATAACTAGTCCAGACTTGTTGAACAGAATAAAATTTTGTAATTCGCCATATAATCTAAATTTTTTTTTGTTACTACATAGTGCAATGTGCAATATTGTGACTGAGAATTATCAACGTAGATCAATATTATTACTGTGCACTGTAATATATACGGGATGTTGTGTATTGCAACATTGAAATTATATAGAGATTATTTGAAGTGAATTCAACTAGATAGCGAATAAGATTGAAATTCACCTAAATTTTTCACATGTGTTTGAACCTAGAAATTTTTAGTTAAACATATGATTGAACTTAATAAAACAATAGTTACATTCCAAATGAAGATTATTAGTTAGAACTAGTCACAATTCTAATTTAAAGAATTGACTCCAAATTCAGTTGATTACTTTCGACAATTTTCGTTTTGATAATATGTACCATGAACACACTTGTGTTTTGGGTGTGTTTTAAATTTATTTCGGCTAGGAATGTTCATTTAAAACCCGAGGTAATTCAAGTAATTTTAAAGAATTCGCCATTTTATTCACAACAACCTAATGCCCCATAGCCTACAATAAATACGACTAGTTTCATAAAGAATGATACTTCTCCTTAGTAATCATTCAGATAATAAAAGTTTCTTCAAGGCCCTACTGCATCAGAGTGTCATAATCGTTTGTGTAGTTTCCAGAATCATCAGTATTGCTAACGTAAGACAAGATCGTTTCTAAATTTTATATTCGACTGCAAAATATTTATACTATAGTAGAATTTCTTTCTTTTTTTTATCTTTGTTTAACCCATTTTGGTCGTTGAATTAAATAACATAGAATTTATTGAAATATACATACAATAAACGACATTGTTAATTGAGACTTACAAGGAACATATCGAACCCAGACACGCCGATTTTGATGCCCTCTATATGGGATATAGTTTGCAAAAAAATATTTGACACGTATTTTTTTATATCGGCCATCGTCCATATTGAAGGGGTGAAAACAGCCCTCAAAGTTAGGGGTTTAAAACATTTTTTGGAATATCGCTGGAACTAGAGCGTATAGATACCAATTTTTTTTTGCAAATTGTGTGTTTTTTAATGGAGAATGTAATCATCTATACGTTTTTTTAATTTTATTTGTTTTAATATATTAAATAAAATAATATATAAAAAAAAATAAATTAAAAAAAAACAGACGATTACATTCCCTATTAAAAAACACACCGTTTACAAAGAAAATTTTTATCTATACCCTCTAGTTTCCCAGATATTCCAAAAAATATGTTTTAAACCCCCAACTTCGAGGGCTGTTTTTACCCCTTCAATATAGACGATGGCCGATATAAAAAAATATATCCATATAGGGGGCATCAAAATCGGCGTGTCTGGGTTCAATATGTTCCCTTGTTAGATAAACTAAGTTCAAATAATCGTGATTCTATTGGTAATACTTAACACGAAATAAATATATGTACATTTTATTCAGTTTTTATTATATTATTAGATTGTCGAACGTCAAGTCGCCAATTTTACGGACAGTTATATTTGAGAATACTTGTATGAATGAAAATGGTTACAAACGATCACAATTTGCACGTTCAATCAATGCGTGTATTTTATTGTTTGAAGTTAGTACTTGCTGTGAAAATACAATTTATTGAACATCGTATTTTACGAATTACAACAGACAATAGGTCTCAGAGACATGACAATTTGTAATGCGACTCGTGATTAGACTTCACAAAACGCATTCACCTAAGGTTCTGTTTGGTAAAGGAAATATTTCACATAAAGGTAACCTTTGAAAATGTCTTCGAAGAGCCAAATTCTAATTCATCAAATTATTTTTGGAAGATGATAATTTTTTATAATAATGTAGATATAATTATGTTTTAATGGCAAACGTGTATATAATCTATTTAAACGTACATACTCTGTCTAGAGAAGTCTAATGTACAGGTATCACTTAAAAATTGGCGATTTCATGTGCAACAGGTTAACATTTCACCGTTCTTGAGATAAAAAAAATCGCATTATGTATGCAATGACCTAATGTAGACAATCAGAGATTTCCTTAACGGCAAATGTATGATGATGCTTTAATTACAGAATGGCTTGAACGCATTACACTTGGCAGCTAAAGATGGACATTTGGAAATCGTCCGAGAACTTCTTAACCGTGGCGCAGTGGTTGATGCCGCTACTAAAAAGGGAAACACGGCATTACATATAGCTTCTCTTGGTGAGTGGACATTACCATTCTTATCTTTTATACGTATCTCTTTATACAGGACAAGGGTATTAGTAGAATTAGAGACAGAAGCATTTATGTCATTGCATTTATTGATACTAAAGTTACGATTTCATATTTCTGATGGTTTATGAAAAGGATGTAATATGAAATTATATAATCAAAACGAAAATAAATTATTAACTAATAACTAAAATTATTTGGTTTAAATTATTAATAACTGATAATTATTGAAAATGGTCATTACTACAATAGGAAGTCAGAGCCTACCTACTTTGTATTTTTGTTACGATGTACTATTTATTTCGACAATAAAACTAAGTAAAGATTTTTTACAGTGAATTAAAATAGATAGTTGATTAAGATGAAATGCGGTTAAAATATGCTCGTATATTCAAAAAGTTGAAAAATACTAAGCTTAAATTGATTTAAGATTTTGATGAGGATTACTTTTTAACAAAGAAATCATTCAGCGAAAGGGCTTCAAAGTAATATTGTCTTTTAAATATGAGTTCCATTTTTAAAAATATACTTTCAAGAAGTTATGTTATCTATAGTAATCGCACGATATACTTGTGTTTTACTGCAGAACATAGGTAATCTTATTTTGACTAATAAAATTCATTTAATAGTCAATAAAATATTGAATTCCACTAAAAAAATCCGACATTTCATATGTACCGATTTAACCAGTTAAAGCAACGTAGAGTGGGTACAAAAAATACGTTTTTGATTCTCAAATTTTTATGGCATATTACAAGCATGTGAGAGAATCAAATACTTAAATGAGAATTAACATTTTATTGCAGCTGGACAGGAGGAGGTGGTACAGTTGCTCGTACAACGAGGTGCTTCTGTAAATGCACAGTCACAAAATGGGTTCACGCCACTTTATATGGCTGCTCAAGAAAATCATGATTCGGTAGTCAAGTACCTTTTGAGTAAAGGCGCAAATCAAACATTGGCCACTGAGGTTCGTAAACACCATTTATCCTTATCAGGACAGTCAAATATTGAACTAACTATCCACCAACCGTTCGTTTCATAATACATGAAATAATTTATATAAATTCAGGATAGTATAGTCAATGTTTGATATCAAATTTTGATGACAAAACGAAGAAAAACAAATTTTATTAAAACATATAATTTAGTACGAGAGTTGATATTGGTATATTTTAATGGCTGTTTATAGGATGGTTTCACCCCATTGGCAGTGGCGATGCAACAGGGTCACGACAAGGTGGTGGCAGTTCTATTGGAAAATGACACTCGTGGTAAAGTTCGACTGCCTGCCCTCCACATTGCTGCCAAGAAAGACGATTGCAAAGCGGCTGCCCTACTTTTACAAGTATGTCGCAATAATTTGTTGCCGAGGCCCTACATTCAATCCGACGCAATCACTAACGCAGAGGAATAAATTCGATGCTTATGGTTTCATTACCTTCTTTCTGTTACAGAACGATCACAATCCCGACGTAACATCGAAAAGTGGTTTCACACCGCTTCACATAGCTGCACATTATGGCAACGACCGAATTGCTTCCTTGCTTTACGACAGAGGAGCAGATGTTAATTTTGCGGCAAAGGTGAGTGTTCCTGGAATAGTTGTTCAAAGTTTAAAGTTATTAAATACTATAATACTTAAAACATAAGAAAAATAAGTAACATAATAGTTAATATCTACCCTTGTCGACTTTGGTTTTGGGTTTTCTTTAAGAAATTATCCAATTACCGTGCTAGATATTTCAGAGCATTTGAATGTTCAGTGACTTTAAAGATTTAAAAATATTGTTAGTCGAAAGAAATTAATCAGAATCATCTTTTTACACTGTGATGTACATGTCTTTTTCATACATATGGGTGTGTTCATATAGATTTTTGATCTTATATAATACGAGATAACAATTTCTGTATAAATTAGTACAATAATTTGAAAAATCTGAGGTACAAAAATACGCATTAGGTTACAATTTGCTTGGTACATAAATGTGTTTAGTGATCAAAGTGACTATAGCAATTGAAGTGCAAAGTATAAATATTTATATACTTTTGTAGCACAATATTACGCCAATGCACGTAGCAGCAAAATGGGGTAAAATCAAGATGGTGAATCTTTTGATGAGCAAGGGGGCGAACATCGAAGCGAAAACGAGAGACGGCCTTACACCCCTTCATTGCGCGGCACGATCAGGCCATCATGAAGTGGTTGATATTTTAATCGAGAAAGGTGCACCGATCGGCTCGAAAACAAAGGTAAGTAACAAGTGCTTTCTTCGAATGCACTTGTGGCGGCAGGTAAAATGTTTTCCGGGGACTGGATTGCGTTGACCCGTTGTTTTCTGTTGACAGAACGGTCTTGCTCCGTTGCACATGGCTTCTCAAGGAGATCACGTTGACGCTGCTAGGATATTATTGTATCATCGTGCACCCGTAGACGAAGTGACGGTAGATTACTTGACGGCGCTACACGTGGCAGCCCATTGCGGACACGTACGGGTGGCTAAACTTCTTCTCGATAGAAATGCCGATCCAAACGCACGAGCTCTGAACGGCTTCACTCCACTCCATATTGCCTGTAAGAAGAACAGACTGAAGGTCGTTGAGCTCCTTTTAAAGCACAAAGCTAGCATCGAGGCTACTACTGAGGTATTTACGATGATTCTCTCATTCGTTCAATAGTATAGTAAGTTACATCATAGATATTATTGAACTAGTTGTTCTTACAATATCTGCCTCGGCTAAAAGTATTAATTCTAGAACTGCATGCAACAGAAGTTCGAACGAACACGACATTATTCTGATCTGTCGTTTTCCTGTCTTTACGATCGATTCGAAAATTCGAGAAAATATAGTTCTAGTTTTAAGTTTCTGTTGAGAAACCATGTATCAATTTAGTATTAATTATTGAAGATTTTACTTTTTTAGAATTTGAGGGAAGTCAATAAAATACGGAGCTGCAAAACTAATTAGTGTAAAATTGTTCTCGGCCTTAGCAATATGCTATTTTAAAACATATTCTTTATGACATGCGTATTTAATAAATAAACACGAAATGTGAAAATAATATCTAAATATTGACCAGAAATATATAAACTTATCTGTATTAGATTATGTGTGCAGTTCTAGAGTTTTGAGCTAATATAGTGTCCATTTAGAGAACAAAGATTACAAATAAGGAATATCTTATAATGAATAGAATAAATAATGTTATGATTTCTTAGTAATAACAGATTTATTTTATTGCTTAGTCTGGATTGACGCCCCTACACGTAGCGAGTTTTATGGGGTGCATGAACATAGTGATTTATTTATTGCAAAATGCAGCTAGTCCTGATATACCAACTGTAAGGGGCGAAACGCCTTTGCATTTAGCTGCCAGAGCGAATCAGACTGATATTATCAGGATACTTCTTAGAAATGGTGCCCAAGTTGATGCAAGAGCAAGGGTAAAGAAAAACATTTAATATATTTGCATTTTCTTTACGATTTATGCATTATAACAGCAAGGAACAATGACAGTTTAAATCTGCAATAATTTTGTTGTTATTATTTCTTGTGAATGTTATTTTATGTAATTACATTTATAAATAATGTCAACATTGCAGGAAGAACAAACACCTCTTCACGTTGCTTCTCGGTTGGGCAATGTTGACATTGTAATGCTATTACTCCAACATGGTGCAGCTGTAGATGCTACAACAAAAGACTTATACACACCGCTTCATATTGCTGCAAAAGAGGGCCAAGAGGAGGTACATATTTAATTCTCTAATATCATGTATTACTGCATATTATGGGGATTGTAAAATTTTTACTGTGATACAGGTTGCATCCGTTTTGTTGGAAAACGGCGCATCGCTTACCGCAACCACCAAAAAGGGATTCACTCCATTGCATTTGGCAGCTAAATATGGTAACATGAACGTAGCAAGATTGTTGTTACAGAAGAATGCACCAGTTGATGCGCAAGGAAAGGTCAGAGGAAATGTTTTTACTTAATATGACGAAATTTTTGGCTATTCATATAAAATACTAAACATGTTAATTAAATACAGAATGGAGTTACTCCGCTTCATGTGGCATCTCACTATGATCATCAGATTGTAGCTTTACTTTTACTGGATAAGGGTGCATCGCCTCATGCTATGGCGAAAAATGGCCATACACCACTACATATTGCTGCACGTAAGAATCAGGTAAGTAATATTATAAAAAGGATACACAGTTCATGAAATGTTTTCAGTATTGTTAAAATATTCACTGTCCTGTTATATCATTGATACAGATGGACATTGCAACTACTTTATTAGAATATGGAGCGAAAGCAAACGCAGAATCAAAAGCAGGATTTACGCCGTTACATTTGAGTGCACAAGAAGGCCACACCGATATGTCAACGCTTCTCATCGAGCACAAAGCAGATACAAATCACAAAGCAAAAGTATGGATACATTACAAACTGAATTGTTAAAATTCGTTAAAGCATTCTTCATTAAATCATGTTTACTTCCGATAGAATTGCCTCACGCCGCTTCATTTGTGCGCACAAGAGGATAAAGTTAACGTCGCTTCTATCCTTGTTAAAAATGGTGCTCAGATTGATGCTAAAACGAAGGTATGCCATTAAAATTGTAGTATTTTATCGTATTAACACGTTTGGTATTGACTAATACATTTTTTTTCATTTTAATTTTTAAAGTATATTTTTTGATTAATGATTTGTCAATTATTATGTGACAATAAATGGTAGAATTTTGTTTACGAATTAGTCTTTTGTGTTTTAGGCTGGTTATACTCCATTACACGTGGCAGCCCATTTTGGTCAAGCAGCTATGGTTCGCTTCCTCTTGCGATCAGGTGCAGTTGTTGATAGTAGCACTAATGCAGGATACACACCGTTACATCAAGCTGCGCAGCAGGGTCATACACTAGTAATTAATTTATTATTGGAGGGTAAAGCTAAACCGAACACTACAACAAATGTAAGTCAATTTTTAAATTATCTAGAGTATCTCTGAAGAAGGTGTAGCGTGCTCGTAATGAATAATCACATTGTGCACTATGCTTCTTTCATAGAAATTCTCTATTTGTTCTCAGTTTTCGAATGTCTTATATACTTACCGTGAAATATTTTAATTTGTACAGAATGGCCAGACCGCTTTGGATATTGCACAAAAACTTGGTTACATTAGTGTCATCGAAACTTTAAAAGTAGTTACAGAAACGGTCATTACAACGACCCACACCGTTACTATCGAAGAAAAATATAAAGTCCAAGCTCCGGAATCAATGCAAGAGACATTCATGAGCGACAGCGAAGATGAAGGTGGTAAGTGTTCATTTCTCTTTCATTTAATAAAAATTCAGTTTGCTTTATTCGTGAGCTTTTCAAAATCTTACAAAAATTGTGATGTATAAAAAGACATCACATGTAATATATCTGAAAATAACACTAATTTTACGATTTAATTCAATCAATGGTTTTTGGAACTAACAATAATATTAAAGTATATTATTTTATATTGTTTATTTTCTAAGTTGTTATTTATTATAATTATATTAGAAGTGACACATTCAGTGTCGTAAGCAATTATTTTAGTAGAATACTACATGTATAAATAAAATTTTATAATATAGGCAGTGGTAATCAGTCAATATGTTTATAACGTATTTTTGATTCTGTGATGCGCTTCTTATAGTCGTAGCAGTTCATAGTATGTATAGATTAGTATTGCATGAAATGAGTTCTTCAAATGTGAAGTTACTTTTACTTGCATCAATCCATCATGTCATCGTATTAAAAACAATTTCTAACATATTTTAAACACAAAACCATACTGTAATTTAAACTTCAAATTTTGCTGTGTTAATTAGACACAATTACTAATTAAACATAGATTGATGAAATTAGCGGTTAAAATGATAGAATGCGATTGGATCTTAGGTTACAATTCTACTACGAGCTTTTTATATTTCGATAGCATTTCGTTCCAGAAATGTTTTCTTCTAAATATACGTTTTGCACGGAAAAGTACAGTTTATCACATGCCAGTTTCGGTTGTACGAAAATCTATGTACCCTTGCAGTTTAAATTATAATGACACTTCTCGTGTAATTACATTTTAGTAATGATGATTTCAAAATGCATGCACTTAGAGCATGAATGCACAAAAGAATAAAAATTGTAGAATGCATTATATAGAAGTCCTACTTGACGATTTTTCCAACTCAAATTAGCGATAGTGTCCTGTCCTAGTAATCGTAATGATACGACTGACTTTTGGGCAGCAAAAACACTGACACTCTCTGATAGGTGTTCAACGAATTCGATCACAGATACTTCCCGTGACGTCTCATACGGAATAACTTAACAATAGTATTTCGACGTCTATAAATATTTTCCAAATTTCCGAATTAGAATCGAAGTGTTAGATGGTCATATTATTTGCTTGTCTTGTTGCGTTTATGTTCCATTCATTTCGCAAGAGCATGTGTTTAGCATATGTTCACTGGGTTGTTGTTATCATTGAGGACTATATTTAACTTTTCTTCTTAGACGCATAGATCTTAGATTTATAAAGAAAGTTTACTATCACTTTGCAAATATTTCAAATATTTAGTGTGTAACGTTATAGACCAAAAAGATTTAGAAGTCGAATAATGCCATTTCAGTAACGTAGTTGCCTTCCTTACACAGGTAATATTATTTTCAAGTATTCGTAAAAATTATTTCCAAGTGAAAAAAATCACGTTAAACGGTATTATTTTTCTATGATAGTTATCTGTGTAAGACTTATATACATAGAAATATTGTATACTGTAGAACAAATTCATTTATTCATATTGAATTATCGGAGACGACGTTAATTGTATTGACCAGTAATATTTAACAGGTTTGCTTGTTTGCTTAACGAAAATGTTTATGTGACTGTTTTATTCATTAAATAATACAATACGATAGAAAATATTGAATGAAAATGTTTTAAACAAGGATATTGAAGAATATTTACTTTCTATTAAAGCGGTATTAGTTGGAGCGTCTTTTGTAGATAATACATATTACCTATTATGAAACTAACAAGTTTTTTTTAACACATTTATTCATGTTTTAAAGAAACAGAATAATTCGTATGCCATTAGAATATATTTTTTTTATAAATAATTTCCACGTTTATTTGCCATCTGTTAAATTATAACAATAAGCAAGTCTTTGATTAATGGATGAATTGGTGTAGACATTGTTTCCAGCAACCCATGTTTTCTTCTTCTTTGTGGAATAATTACAATATATGTGCAAAAAAGTATCAACTAGAGCAGTGTATGAAAATATTTTTTTTGTAATTCTTTTTCACCGACCAGATCATCTAGGAAAAGTAGATATACCTCAAATTTTATTTTCGATATCTTAATATATTTCAAATCATTGCTATCGCGAAGTTTAAGGAGTATTCATCACTTTGGTTTTGGTTCTTAATTAATTACACCGTGAAACGTTTAAAGGAGTTCATTTAAATAACAGACAGACAAACACATTAGCACGTGATATTCAAGGGTAGTCGACAAATTCGCTTTTCCCGAATATGTCCGACAATACTGCATATAAAAAAAGTTCATTCTATATTTTTTCTTATTCTTGTGTATAAAATAGTCTCGTCTTTAGTGATAACTTCACACGTGGCCACACGTTACACGTTACACACTTAAAGATGACCCATCAAATTATTGTTAACTCACCTTGAATATTATTTTCTCATATTTTCGACGCTCCAAATGCTTGAATATTCTGTAATTGAGCTAATCTGACTCGTATCTGATTTTCATTAAGACAATTGAAAATTTTTAATTGTACGTGTACGTAAGAGAAAGAAGAAGAAAGTACTATTGTAAGTCGACTGAAATGTGCCATTAATGATTAGTGAACGTCTGAAAAATTTTGAAAGAAATCGAAGCAAACGAACAAACTATGTACGTTCCCGCGGTTCGCTTATCTCCCGCTACGTAAGGTCGGCTATTTAACAACCCAGTGATAGCGAAATTTAGAAGCAGTGTTTATGGTGCAAAACTAGCGTTTTGATAAAAGAAAAAAAAATGACCTTACTCGACGGCGTACGATGTAGGTGGTGATGAAATCGGCATGGCAGCCATGAATGTGTACGGGCAGCCTCCGCACGCGGAACACGTGTACCTTCCTTCTTACTACCAGGGCCAAATGACCTACACCCGTAAGTTGTCTGTACTCTGTTTCTGTCACTCTTTCACATATCACACGTGCGCGAACATTCTCTAATTACATATACATACATATATACTTAATATATCTATCAGCACATTGACTGAGTACGCGGACGTATCTTGCGTACGTGCGAATCGGATCATTCATCTCTTTTTCTGTTCTGGACGTTCTTTCACTAGACTAATTTGTTACGGTCCTCTACACGATACTCGAAATCTCTGGCGACTATTTTTTTCAAGCATACTAATGTATATTCTATTTTGTGTCTTTGTGTGTGTGTTTTTTTTGCAAAGGTAGAGATGACGTCGTCGGTTTGTTAGAAGAGTGACACATCTAAAAAATTGTTAGTTTTCAGATTTTATCAGAAAGATATAAAATATATCTGTCATAAAATCATTCTATTTAACAAGAGCAATGTCGCAATTTTTGTTGTCGCTATATTGAAAATAGGGCTGACCAGTGAAAAAAAGAAAAAGAGGATCAAAAATTCTTTTGAACAAGTTTTTTTTTAATAGTAAGCAATACATATCAATTTTAGGGACTTTCAAAGCCCAAAGACTATTAGCAAAATTGTAAAGGAAAAAATGTTTTTATTGCTAAATGGTCGAGTAATTAATCATTTTCTACCACAAACAAATTATAAATTGATTTCCTGAAGAATTTACTTTTCTTAGTTGCGTCACCATTCTACCAAACCAACGATGAATATCTGTGTTTCGAAAATCAGTCGCTGACAATGAATGTTCTATCTAAAAAGGCCCTTCTATTTTATGTATAATTAACATGGTTTTGTTTTTTTCTGTAATACGTGGTAGAATAATTGAAATTGTTGCTGACTTTCATTGATTTTTCATTGTACATAGTTTTTGCTCGATCCAGTGATTTCTTTTTCCCGTCGTTCCGCGTGGAGACGTAGGTACAGAGACATGCACAGACATACCTCTCCTCGAACCGTTATTTGTTCACACTCTGTTTCGTTTACCTTCCTTCCTCATCGCTCCACTTCTCCTTTGTAAAATTACGATCCATCGTATCTTTGAAACGCCCGCAGTAGCCGTATGACAGTTGGGTTTTTAACTCTTCGGACAGTTTGTATTTTCCAATGAATTTCAAATGCTATCGAAATTTAATCGAAAGTCTGTTCAACCAACGTGGAATATTACAAACGAATTTATTTTATTCCCATATTTTTTATCTGGCAACACTAGGCAATCGCTTATTTAATCCTCTTGCACTGTTCGGATCAATTTGATCTGAATAATAGCTGAACAATAGCTTCTACATATACATATACATATGTATAATAATCTAGCGATAGGGAAATATATTTCGCTAATTTGATTTTAATTCCGGGCCAAATTTAAATCAAGGAATTGCAACAGTTTATTAAATAGTGCACGAGGGTTAAAATGAACAATTCATCAAATATTAGGAAATACATTTTTTAGTATTAGTTTTGAGAAAACTGTTACGAATAAGTCGTGTGCGTGACATTAAGAACGCAGTAGGTGTATATACATATAGAAGTGGCGTTATCCTTGCCACTTATAATTCAGCGAGATCAATATCATCAATTCATTACTCGTCGGACTTGAGCATACGAACTTCATTTATTATGCACGAGTCACAGGTTTGAATACGTCATTACCGTAAACATGGTATTCATAGTACTGTCATTGAAATTAGTATTTACATAACTGAAACTGTTTCAGCTAAATAAAACATAACGAAACAGTATAAGTGTATTTTATACGTGTATTTTTATCATATTTGTGTGAAAGATTATCACATATTTAGGGTTTATTATTGACTTTTTATAACAATATCTATACGTAATGTTGTATATAAATAACATAATAAATTAGAATGTATGTTATTTATTAGATATTTAAAAATTATTACAAAATATTAAGTAGTATATAACTAGAAACTTTTTAAATTGATATCACCAATACTTTTGAAAAAAGAAGTGATTCGCTTGCATTTTAAAAAAGACTATTGTATTATGGAAGTAATTTTGAACCAGCTCCCGTATGGGAATCCAAAATATAGAATATTTTTCAATTGTAATGTAACTGAGGTTTAGTATAAATTAATTTAATATAATATATTTAGTTTATTCTATAATTAAACAAATAGATAGGTATGCATATTTTTTAGAAGCTCTGAAGTATTGAATTAATTAAATATAACTTGAAAGTTTCGAACAATGGGTAGTTGGCTCAATGTTATTCGACAAATTTTATAAACAATAGAATCGACAAGACAAGAAATGTTATTCAAGAAACTCATAAAAATATCACGTATTTCTTATAATTACATATATCAATTGATAGGGACATTGGAAGAAACTGTTGCATGTTTGGCCTTGACCCTAATAACAGGATAGTTCTACGTAGTAATTCTAATAACACTCGTCAAATCGTTGACATCTCCGCTAAATTTTACGAGCATAGAATACGTTACGAATACAGGGATCCGAAACTATAAGAATATGTCACGAAGAAATAATCTTTCCTAATTCTTCAAGTGGTGAATACCCCGTTGAGGGTTCATAAAATGAAAGATTAAAACATTTCCCGCAAAATGTATTTGTGTGTTTTTCATATCTAATTTACTAAATAGTTAAAAATGACACATTTCTTACGTATATGTATACATTGTATTACTTATTTTTATAATATTCCGCAAACGTTTTCAATCTCTGGTTGTCCAACACAAATATATTGAATTAAATTTTCATATCAAACTATCGAGTTACATCAATTTTCCTAAAATGGCGGGAAATGCTTTAACATCATGCCGATGCAGTAGAACTCGAAAGAAAATAAAAGATTATAAGGTTCCTCATAAATCGCATAAATTTACATGTTCTTCAGATCTAGAGACTGGTTAGTTAAAAATTACACAATTTTTTACACATATATATAGCATCTACTATTTTTATAATATTCCGTAAATGTTTTCATTCTCTAGTTGACCAACACAAATATCTTTAATTAAATTGTCATTTCGAACTATCGAGTCACACCCAATTTTGATAAAGTGGCGAGAAATGCGTTAACATCGTGCCAATGCAGTAGACCACAAAAAAGCCGGCGTGTTCGCGTTTTCGGTTATACAATCCCGCGAAAACGGTACCTCGATGAACTAGGGCGCGTAGCTACTGTTAATGCAATTTGCATGATAACGAGTCGTGCGATCATTATGCCAATCGACGGGAACAGAGGTAGGCTTGTGTGATCTGTTTTGATGTATCATCCTGGGGTACCTACGCGCACTTTGCTTCTTCAGCTGTTATGCAACAGCCGGTGTGTGCGTCTTGTACCATATTATTCGTGCAGTTAGTCTAACCCCTGCTGGCTGGCAAGTCGCCAAAAGCGATTCACGACCAAAATACCTGAATTTATATAACAAACTTGTTTTCCTATTTTTTTTTTCTCTCTCTCCCTTTATCTTTCCTTTCTTCGAGTTGATGCGCAATTAGTTTCCACGAATTTGTTTTATACACCTCGTGTACGTGTGTGTATTTTGGCGTAAGGATACGATGAATGTGGGAAAAGTGATCAACGAACACTAACGACCGCAGTTAACGTTAATTGATCACGTTACACCGTAAATGGGACGTGCACGCCTCGCGAGTGTACAGGGTAGCACCGTTCGTCCTCTTTGGGACTGTCCGCCGCAGTTGATCGTTCATGGAACGAATCGTTCCAGTTTACCGAGTTTACAGATGCAACGTCACGTATAGGTACTTGTCCGAGCCACCAAGTAGAAACGTAAAGTATCATCCCGTAACCTCCGACGAATTACACTTTACGGATTAATTATCGCTCGTAAATGGATTTTACGGGTTTATTTGCGCCACGATCGGTGGACAACATGCTCGTCTTATGGTTCACGTTACCCTGCGCTCCGGAGTCCTCCGAAAGCCCCGGCAAATATCATTGAATGCCAATTATTGCATCTGGTCACGCGGTCGAGCGTGCAAGAAAACTGTCCGATCGTGATGTAAATAAAGTAGTGGAAAAGCTCGACCGACGGTTACTATTATAAAATCGGTGAATCACGGAATGAGGTCACGTTTCTGTTAGGTGTAGTCTCTCGCGTCGAACTTGTATTAATCTTCGGGCAGTCGCTGTTCCTGACCCCGCCGGTGCTGGCACGCGACGAAATACCGCGGAAGAAAGGAAGCATTTTCAGGCCGTGGTCGTCGTGGGTTAATGCAATTTAACAAGTCAAATCTAATCAGCCGAGAACAAGCTCTCTGTGCGACTCGCATAACGTGGACCTCCAGTAGTAACGACATCCTGGAACGGTGCGTTTGGGTTCACCTCCAGTCCCCCGCCCTTCCCCTAGTGTCCTGTGTATGTGTGTGTGTGTGTGCGTTTTGGCCACTTGGATCGTGTCAATGATAAACAAACGGTAAAAAGGGGGGGCGGGTGCGGTGAAGCGAGTAAAGCCAGGAGTACCTAATTGTAGGCATGTCATCAATGAATGCGTAGCGATAACGTGCGCTAATTGGAATTCGTCGCGATCTAACCCGCGCACACATCGTCGACGGTCAGTCGAGTCGGTGATGTTATTAGTCCTGTACGTAGCTTACATCGTCAGTACACAGTGTTCACCGAGCCGTGCATAAGGTTGCAGCGGTGTATCAAAACTTTTCGTGACTGGAAGTGCGTTCGTGGTTGCCCAACCGCGTGTCCATCAGGTATACAATCTTTCGAGGATATCGGGCAACCGTGACTTTTCGGCTGAACTACTCGTGGAACATTTCTGCAATTATTGTGTTACCGCGGCTCCATTTTTTTATTTATCGACGTCGTGTGACAAATAGTCGACGACCATGGCTAAGGGACGTGTCAAACGAAAGGAATCGAAGAAGATGGCATGTTGCGGGTGTACGAGCAGCAGGAACAGCGACACTTTATGTAAATATGGATCCGTTCTTAAACCATTATACCTAGCTACTCTGATGTCATTTAA